AGGTCTTTGCTACCTGTGGGTGAGCTGATCTTTCTAGGACGAGCCCTGGAATAAAAAAAAAACATATATAATAAAAAAGATATTAAAAATAAATATAATTAGAAGTCTCATATGACAGTTCTCTTTTTCCACTGTTAACAATTTGGCACATAAAAACAATTATTTCACACCTGATGTCATAGATTACAGGGTACTGGAACCATGGAACCCTGAAGTGCAAGCCTTCAGTGTAAATATCTGGCTGCACTCCTCCAATACGGCTGAAGATGATGGCTCTGTGACCACCCTCAACTGTAGAAAACAAGCATTTACACATGAGAAGAAATACAACAAAACTATCTTTCATCAATACAAGATATTTATGGATATGACAAAATTTTATGAATTAAACAATTCTATTGGTTTCTTTTGTGAATCATGGCAAAAGGAAAAAATTTAAAATGATAATACCCATAAATTCAACCCTACAATGAGAGAAAGCCACATCAATGATGCAGATTACTTTATTCTCCAGACATCAATTTCTGTTCCAAAAAAGGATCCAACACTTGAAAAATGTCCTATTAAGCACTCAAAATTTTTAACCACAAAATTTCTTTTGTCACTCAAGATCTTTCTTCATTTACTATGCCAGTGGTCTTCAAACTGTGGGCCATGGGCTGGTTTTCAGAATCTAAAGTTAAATAAACAATATATGAAGAAATAAACAATCAAATTAAATATCTAATTAAAAACTACTTCTTTATTCTACCCTAATAATTATTCATGGGCACATTCACAATACAGTATCTGCCTATATCTACATCTGAAGCAGCTGGCCATTAGTATTTGCAAGTGCCATAAGTGGGCCATGGCCTAAAAAAAAGTTTGAAGACCACTGTACTACACTGACCATGTATCTCATTACTGCTAGAAGGCATATAACTGCCTTTCAAAGGAAGGCTATAAACATTTATTGGTTAACCATATAATTAACATAGCAAACCTTGCTATCAGTGCCATACTGACATAGGCAGAAGTCTGGGGATGTTAAGAGGGGCTTATTACCATTTGGTTTCCAGAAATGTCATTTTGATGGCTATTTAGTCTGCATCATAATTTTCAAGACCCAAACATGCAATTTCACCAGTACCTCATTGCATTAAGGTCAGAAAGGTGATGGACTAGGATACATGGCTTGAACACATTGTATGAAGACTGAACAGCCCAGGGGATTAGGCATTGCTTATAATTAAAATGTATGACAAAAAATTCTCGGGGTCCATCAAGCTGAGCCCCATGGCTAAAAGACTAGAATGCATTTCATTTTAGAACAAGCACTAAAAAGACAATGGGTATTCAGGTTAGGCAGGGGATTGTAACTTAAATGTACTGTTCTTGTTGCTACAAGGGTCCTGGATGGGTGTATTGGGTAATCATGTTCTTCAACTTATATTCTGTGAAATATAATGTGAAAGATTCAGCCCACAGACATTTGACAGTTAGCAGTTAGTGGTGCTTATGAAATAGAAACTTAATACAAGTCATTATTTGTGTGAATCAGGCATTAGTACAATTTGATAGGCACATTTACAGTGGATAACAATGCAGATGAAACAACTATATACATTGCTATCAAAACTGATTTGCAGAAGTGAACCTATTTGACTTAAACGGCGCAGTTTTCACACCTACTGCTGGGCCACTGTACATGTATGTCACACGACATCACTACAAATTGTGTATTTTTTTCTTAACAATTCATGTGTATTTCATACTGATCTACCTAAATATTTTCAGTTGTATAAATCAATGTTATCAACTTTTTTTTGGTCTCACATTGACAGTGTTTTGTCAATTATGGCCTGTGTTCAACACTTTCATTTTTATTTACAAACATTGCATTTCATATTCCGCGTGCATAATCTATGGATGGTCACTTTGACAGCCGGTCAGTGTCAAGTATGGCTAACTGGTGTCAAGACTGTCACAGTGGTTTCAGTGAAGGTTTTTTAAAAGTCCTCTGGTGATTTTGCTGGAATGAAAAGTGAAAAGCGTGGATCAGACTGCCAAACAGACAAAGAAAAAAAACATTCCTTCCTGTCAATTTCATGCTATTGGAGACTCATCGCTCGTATGTTTCTGAAGGCTGTATCTACTGTGTCTAAACAGTAGTCCTAAAAGCTGCCAATAAACAATGTCTTCATATTTCCAAAGCTGACACTTGCATATTTGTAGAATTACTTATGGAAATAAGTTGTTCTATTTGCATGCACTTCGTAACAAGGATGAATGCAAAGGCTGACGTAACCCAAAGTAAACTGAAAGAAAGCAAGAAATCGAAAAATAAACTCCTTTGTATAGCTGCCACGGTGATCATAGACAGAAATTCTTTAAATCTATTTTCAATACAAAGTGAAATTGTGAATCTCCCTTTTTGAGAAGGTTCCCGAACTTGCATAAGACGCAAGGAACGACTCCTAAATTGTTCTCTTCAAAACTTCATAAAAAACATCTCAAGCTCCCACTCACAACCCTTATTGAATAAACCCCAGAATATACGAAGCCACTCCCCTCTCGCGCAAACCCAGCCGCAAAACAAGAAAACACCCGAAGGCAACCCGGCAAAGCCCAGCATGCAGACGACGCGACCGAGTCCTCCCTCTCGTCGCCTTTCCTCCTCTCCCATTTTCCTCACCGGTGTACATCGACTGCGAGATGCCATAAGCCGCTGCTCCTGCCGTTGCCAAGAGCTTGAGACCCAGACCCAAACCGCGAGGTCCTTTGCCGAAGCGTCCTGCGAGGTCGTTCAGTTTGTCGCCCATCGTTGCTGATGTAACTGCAATCACATGTAAACACTGCGGCCGGGACGGGAAGCTCGGCGCCGGGGCGATGGTTCTCCTCTGGGCCGGCGACTACGGGGCTAACTTTTTTTGTCTGTGTTTTCACTTTTTCTAGGCAAAGGGAAGACTTTATTTTTGTCATTTTGGTATACTATTTTACCGTTCTTTTTCTTGTTATTCATATAATCATGATCCATTGTTATCTTGTCATTACCATGACTATCATTACCATTATTATCTCAATTATTATTTTTCCTTAATTATTATCATTATATTCATTATTATTCTCACTGTTATTATCATTATTATTATTATTATTATTATTATTATTATTATTATTATTATTTTTTTTTTTTTTTTTTTTTTATTATTATTATTATATTATTATTATTATCATTATTATTATTATTCATTATTATCATTCATATCATCATCATCATTATCATCATTATTATTATTATCATCATTATTATCATCATCGTCATTATTATTATTAATTATTATTATTATTATTATTATTATTATTTATTATATTATTATATTATTATTATTATTATTATTATCATTATTATTATTATTATTATATTATATTATTATTATTATTATTATTATTATTATTATTATTATTGTTGTTGTTGTTGTTGTCATTATCATAATTATTATCATCACTATTGTTATCATTATTATAATTATTATATTATATTATCATTATTATTATTATTATTATTATTATTATTATTATTATTATTATTATCATTATTATTATTGTTATTATTATTGTTGTTATTATCATAATCATTATCACCATTATTATTATTGTTGTTGTTATTCTTATTCTTCTTATTATTAATATCATTATTATTATTATTACCATTAATATTATTACTATTATTATTATTATTATGACCATTGTCATTGTTATTATTATTACTATTATTATTATTGTTATTATTACTATTGATATTGTTATCATAATTGTCATTATTATTATCATTATCATTGCTATTATCATTATTATTATCATTAACATTATCATTATCATCATTATTAGTATTTCTATTATTATTATTATCATTAATATTATTATCAAAAGTATCATTATTATTATCATTATCATCATAATCATTATTGTTATTATCATTATCATTATTATCATAATCTTTATCATTATTATCATAATCATTATCATTATTACCATAATCATTATCATTATCATTGTTATCATTATGATTATTACTATTGCTCTTATTATTTTTACTATCATTGTTGTTATTGTTATTATTCTTATTGTTATTAGTACTATCGTTATTATGATCATGATCATTATTATCATTATTGTTATTATTGTTGTTGTTGTTATTATCATTGTCATTATCATAGTTATCATTATCCTTATCATTATCATCATTATTATGATTAGCATCGGCAGTAATAGTAGCAGTATTTAGAGAGAAGACGGGGAACGAGAGAGAGAGAGAGAGAGAGAGAGAGAGAGAGAGAGAGAGAGAGAGAGAGAGAGAGAGAGAGAGAGAGAGAGAGAGAGAGAGAGAGAGAGAGAGAGAGAGAGAGAGAGAGAGAGAGGAGAGAAAGAGGAGAGGGTGAAAAGAGAGAGGAGAGGGAGAAGAGAGAGACGGGAAACGAGATAGAGGGGAGACAAAAGAGAAAGGGGGAGAGAGAGACGGGAAATAAGATAGAGGGGAGTCAAAGAGAAAGGGGAAGAGAGAAGAGGGGAGATAAGAGAGATCGAGACACGAAAGAGAGGGGAGAGACAAAAGAGAAATGGAAGACAAGAGCGATAGAGAGAGGATATATATATATATATATATATATATATATATATATATATATATATATATATATATAGAGAGAGAGAGAGAGAGAGAGAGAGAGAGAGAGAGAGATGAGAGAGAGAGAGAGAGAGAGAGAGAGAGAGAGAGAGAGAGAGAGAGAGAGAGAGAGAGAGAGAGAGAGAGCACATATTTCATAACCTCACATAAATGATTACATACAGTACCCCTTGTATCTCAATGTATAAAGATTTCATTACGAGAAAAATACATCTGAAAAATACTGGATGCTCTCTATACCCTCTGTGCATGCTTTAGATACACTGATCTCGATAAAGATCAGATAAGGGATTATGGAAGAGTGAATACGCTCGAGACTTGAATAACTCAACGGAGTTCAACCGATCGTTGTTTGTTATGATGGCGATCCCGGCGAGGAGAGCTTCTACCCTCTTGGCTGGGACGATTTCCTGCTTTCGTGGTCTAAATATCAGCAGTCATGGGGCAACGAAAGCCGTGGTTGCTACAGCTAATACTAATTATTTCAAGTAAGAGGGTTTTGTAAGGATTATTGCCAGGTTCTGTATATTGGAGTTCAGTGAAAATTTCCTAGTTATGTGAATGGTATTACCATTTGTAAATGGATGGAGGATATTGTAAAGAATCACAATCAAAATTGAGAATTGAGAAATAGGTAAAGGGCTAGAGAATTATAATAACCAATTTGTTCAATCTCTCAAATAGCACCATTTAACTGTTCAAAACATGATGGCACTGATAGAATGCTTTTGATGTAAATGCTTTTGGTAATTTTTTGGAATACATCCACCACAATTTATTGCAACGATTTTGGTATCATTAGATTCCTCTCACAATCAATTTTCAAACATATAGAAATCATTGCACGGAAACCCCCCTATAACCCCCTACATTCTTGGCCCCGATAGCAGGAGAGGGCATGAAAGGTACCAGGGAAATTGATGGGTAAAATGTAAATGATATACTTAGAATCAGTCGCTATATTGTCTAATGGAGGGGCACAACCCCCTGCAAACCCCCACACTGGGCACTGAATAATGTTAGTGGGGATGTTAATCCAGTTGCCACATTTGGCAATAATACTTACTGTGCCTACAGTTATGTGTTTATTTATTGGATGGCTCTACAAGTACTTAGTCACCAAGGAGTCAGTTATTAGTCCTGCTTATCTCCCTGTTTACCGTTTTCCTTAGTTTTTGGAACGCTTCTTTTATATTATTTTGTTTCCTTTAATGTTACTTATACTTTAATAACGTTTGGATAATGATAATAAGTTAGAGTAATGACACATTTTCCTGCAATTTCAAGGAATGGGTAAGTTAGGCGTGATCATTAGAAACTCCTTAATGGTAGAGTATATGTGAAGCCATCTGTATGTAACAAAATTCACAAAAAGCTACAGGGGACCACACATAAATCTGGGGCGGTTGGATTAAAAGGCAAGCAGGTAACAATCCAGTTTATTAGCAAGAACATCCACATAGTTCATTGCCATAGATCATTCCTATCAGGGAAAAGTGGTCACCCCATTCACACGCACAGCTTTGTTTGATACGATGGTGATCCTGGCGAGGAGAGCTTCTACCCTTTTGGCTAGGATGATTTCCTGCTTTTGTGGTATATTTGTGGCAAATATGTACTCATGTACATATTTGCATATGAAAAGTCCTTTCTTCATGTTTTTTTTTTTTTTTTTTTTTTTTTTTAGTTTATTGTTTAAGTAAATTGTGTTTATTTGTGTTTACGTATATCAGGATTTGTGTATATCTTCCAATATTTGCATCTCTTTATATAAAAACATTCCACTCTAATATATTCCTTACACTTCTAGAACATTGCCAAGTGCTGCATCCTTCCATACCTCTGCTAGACGCTTGGGGTTGATGGAATTCTTTGATGACAAGAAGAACTGGGGTGAGCAAGAGGTGAAGGTTGGGCGTGCGTGGAAGCTGGATGAACTTCGGATCAAGAGCAATGAAGACCTTCACAAGCTGTGGTAAGCTCTTGCTGGGTGATATCACAATGAGGATTTTGTGCAGATATTACTTGAGGAGTTCTTTGCCATATTCTTCCCATCTTCCATTTTTTACTCTTCTCTCTATTTATCCTCCTCCTCCTCCTCCTCCTCCTCATACTGATCCCTCTTGTTTTCCCTCTCCTGCTCATGCTTTTCATGGTTGTGCTCCTTTTTCTCCTAATGCTCTTCATCTTCCTTCGGCTCCAGCTCCAGCTCCTGGTTTTCCTGCTGCTGCTGCTATTGCTCCTTCTTTCCTACTTCTCCTTTCTTACTCCTCCTCCTTTCCTACTTCTCATTTCTTACTCTCTTCTCCTTCATCCTTCTTCTCCTTCTCCTTCTTCTCCCTCCTTTCTCTTCTTCTCCTTCTCCTTCTCCTCTCCTTCTCCTTTCTCCTTCTCCTTCTCCTTCTCTCTTCTCCTTCTCCTTCTTCCTTCTTCTTCTTCTTCTTCTTCTTTCTTCTTCTTCTCTTCTCTTCTCTCCTCCTCTCCTCCTCCTCCTCCTCCTCCTCCTCCTCCTCCTCCTCCTCCTCTCCTCCTCCTCCTCCTCCTCCTCCTTCCTCTCCGTCCTCCTCTCCTCCTCCTCCTCCTCCTCTCCTCCTCCTCCTCCTCCTCCTCCCTTCCTCCTCTTCCTCCTATAATACTAATACCCTCACTACTATGTGCATACAGCCACACCTATGTCCACCACCACCCTAGGTGCACTAGTTTGATATACAATTGGCAGTCAAATTTTAACCCAATGCTGATGGGAAAAAGTTGCATTCACTTTAGTATTATTTGGTTAAATGTTTTTGTACATAGATGGCCTTGCCAAGACTTAGCCACAATGAAATCAA